ATAAGTTATAGATATAGGTGAGTGGTTTAGCTATCTGCTCACCGCATAACTTGATAATTTTATTGGACAGCCCATCGTATCCACAGGAAGTCTTATTCTTTAGTGAAGAGATTGTGCTTAAGACTTCAGATAGATAGGATAGATAGATAGGTAGATAGGATATATATGCGAATTATGTGCTTTGACACTTGTGTACTCTGACCTGTGACAGCNAGTTAACCATCTGGAAACAGAAGTGTTAAGGTTTTGAGTCTGTAATAGAGTTCTCTGCTTCCTGTTAAATAAGTATGATTCAAACCATTTCAAAATGGATCCTCTAATTCCATAATGTTCCAACTTTTGAATTAACAAGTCATGGTTAACGCAATCAAATGCCCTTGTAAGGTCACAAAAAATACCTACTACCAGTTCCTTATTATTCCATGCTTTATATACTGAGTTTGTTAAGTTAAAAATTGCATTTTGTGTCGATGCACCATTTCTAAATCCATATTGCTCATCAACAATAATATTATTATTTGTCAACTGTTGTTTTAACCTATTAAAGACTAATATTTCAAATAATTTGGAAAATCCTGTCAACAGAGAAATAGGCCTATAGTTAGATATTTCGGATGCATCACCCTTTTTAAAACATGGTATGATGTTGGCATATTTTAGCCGATCTGGGTATATTCCAGTATATAAGGATAAGTTATAGATATAGGTGAGTGGTTTAGCTATCTGCTCACCGCATAACTTGATAATTTTATTGGACAGCCCATCGTATCCACAGGAAGTCTTATTCTTTAGTGAAGAGATTGTGCTTAAGACTTCAGATAGATAGGATAGATAGATAGGTAGATAGGATATATATGCGAATTATGTGCTTTGACACTTGTGTACTCTGACCTGTGACAGCCCAAACCTTTTAAAACTCTTCAAGGGAAGAGTTATGGTCCTCTTTAGCCATTTCAGTAGAGTGACTGATTTATTGGGGAGACCGATTCATTAGCATGTTATGACTTGCTTTTCGCATCTGGACAGAAATAACTGCCTTGTTTTGTTACCTGCAGCTTGGGTGAACGGAAAGGGACGAGGCCACCACAGGAGGCAAGTCTGTAGTTTGCCGAAGATGTAAATTTTGTTTTGCTAATAGGGTAGCTGTTATAAAAGTGTCTTTGGAAGGGTGTAATTGGACCCTAAACTAAGAAATAACTGCTTTCACATGTGGGGTACCGGGTTCTGTATCTTTGGATCTCTTTATTCTCAAAGTTCGTTATGTGATTGTCTAGTGCTGATTGTATGATGGATTTAGCCTGTTAAAATCAACCAATAGGAACCTATTCTTGTCTGGGAGAAAGGCCGTCGATTCAAATCCTATACAGGGGATGAAGCAACGCTCCCACAGGATAGAGTTTCCAAAGGACTTTGGCGTTTTGAATTCATGAAAGGCAGATGTCATTGGGCTGCACTCTCCAAGTTTATCTAAATTTATCAGTCTTTATTTGGTTTGATTAATCTTTGATAATAATAATAAAAAGGGCACATTACTCCGTACTTGCTAATAAAGTTATAGTGTTTGCTTCTGAAATAAACAATTTGTGGAGAGCAGAAATCGTGTCGTTGATTTCTAGCAGTGGACGGGTTTTAAATGTGCAGTTTCCCCGCTGCCTCAGTTATTACCGTGACATGATCCAGAGAAGAGTCAAGTGGTCTACCAAAGCCGACAAATAAATACAAAGATAGAAAGGGAACGGTTACAGACCTAGCCAAAAGAAACTCAGCATGGAAAGTGTTACATAAGCACACGGACAACTTAATCATTCTCCCTGAACATGGAACACTGACCTTCACCTGACGAGCAATACAAATCATTGTCCTCTTCAATGGTACGTCTTGAACAGTCATCCTTGAAGACAACAGATTGAAATGCCGATATCCAGTCTGACAGCTCCTTCTCCGAGAGAGAAGCGAAGTGATGGATGGCATTCTTCGTGACAATCTGTCATGCAACAGAATATATTTCTTCCATGAGTCAGACTGGGAGAAAAATATGTTACCACTTGTTTGTACTTCATCTGTGATATCTGAACTTTCTAATATCTATTTTCTTGCAGATTAATGTCTATACTGAGTATATTATATGGCCCCTAAGTATCCTCATTGTTCTAATACAAGTACATTAGAACAACTAAAATATTTTGATATTTATCAGTTTCATGCAAAATACGCACCAGCACAAGCTTGCCCCAGGAGATGAGAAGTTTCACTAACCCCCTCGCCCTTCATTCAGTCAAAACTAAACAACTTCCTAAGAACTCTGTCACAATAACACAAACTTTCCAAACAAATAACAGAAATTATCACTGGTGTGTAATTCTTAAAAAGTTTTATTTAAAATTTTGCATGACACGTTTACATCGCTGCCAATTAATAGTCACCGCATGAACAAAACAGCAGCATAAATTAATTCCAATTTAATGAAAAAAGCAAAAAAGCAGAGAGTTTATTATAACTCAGATTCTAGAGTGTACAAATATTTTAGAGCTGCAGCTAGTCACTTTAGAATTTAAGACCTCCTGAAGAAGCTGTACGCAGGCTTAACATAATAAGGTTAGCTGTTTAGGTTTCTATTTGAATTATAATAATGCCTAAATTCTGCTATTTACAATGATAAGAAACATCAGTGTCGCTGAAACACTGATCTTTCATAACAAAAATACACATAACTCCCATCCATAGGACTTTTCAGCAGAAACTAAAACATAAGTAACCAGCAATTCTGAGGGGTAGCAGCTCCTATTCCACCATGTGACATTCACTTCAACATAATACATGAGGGTTTATACTGTCTATTTAAAAATAATACATTAATTGATTACTTTTGCCTCTTAGAACCCCAATATTAGGGTGAAAGTTATTCATTTAATGTTTTCACATTCTGTTTGTGAACTTTATGGAACTACATTTAAAATTTGTTTAGCACCTTTATGTTAAGCTTAAAAATATAGCAGGACCTAGCATGGGTAATACCAGGAATACCGCTTATATTGAAAAGATGGTGTGAATATTATGAAGCCTGGGTAAGCTTATCATAATATTAGCCATCATATTCCAGTCATAACAAAAGAGTACTGAACCTAGGCTTCCAAAATAAATGTTAGATATACTTCAAAATATACAACAGTAAGAAACTCACAGCAAACACATTTGGTTGATGTTTCTGAGCATCTTGCATAATTTTGATGCAATTTTCCAAGGTAATGATCCTTACAGTTGTATTTTTTGACACTTCCTCTTCATTATCAAACACCTCCAGTCGTTCAATTCCATTCTTGCTTGATCTGAAGAGCTGACAATATTTCTTGTGCCATGATTTCTGAAATCAATATAAGACTTGGGTGATATAATAAAGTCATGCAATAAAATTAACAAGTGAAGTCTGGGGAAATTTTGTAAATAATGTAAATAATCATGATACTACACAACCAGTAGGAGCCGGGATGGTTTAGTCAGTACAGTGACTGGCTATGGGCTGAACAACTGAGGGGTGGGAATTTGAGTCCAATTAGGGTCAAAAATTTTATTTTCTCTACATCCTCCAGATCTGCTCTGGTACCCACCCAGCCTCCTATCCAATGGGTACCAGGGGTTCTTTCCCTGGTGGTGAAGTGGCCAGGGTGTAAATCTGACCGCTCACCTCAAACTAGTGCCGAAGTCAAGAAAATGTGGATCTATACATCCAGTCCCCCATACACCTTAACATCAGAGTGCTTAATTAGTTGAGCACAGGGACAACTTTACCTTTAATGCATAAACTGGTTGGCACAATAAGAAGACTAGTACAGGATTCAGTGTCATATGAGGATAAATGGAAACATGTACCAGTCTCTACCTGCCACTATCTATCTTCAAGCCACTATCTGGCCAACAAACATGCCATCTTACATACACTACTGCAGTTTCAAGTATAAAACACTGTGCTGCAGTTCGAATAAAATCCAGTGGTTGACTTTCTAAAAGCATGATATTACTCTAGCTGCTAATCCAGTTGAAATGTGAACTTTAAAATCCCAAATACTGAGTGTTACGGCTACCCCAACCTTCACAGCAAGCCATAACCACTGTCCCTCACTGGGCATTTAAAAATTGCATTACCCTTCAGCAAGCCCTTCTGTTGATATTCCAAAAGTATCATGTAACGAGTTCCTTAGCCTAAACAATTTGTCTTGAAAACCAGGGTCACTACATCTGAATGTTAGCTTCCCACCAAAACTGTGAAACAATGTACCTGTATAACACGCATACAAATTCTGAAAACCATACGTTGCTTCTTTTACACTTCAGTACTCCATGTGAGAAATAACTACTGACTTTACCGGTTAACATTTTTATAAAAAAAAAATTAAATGAAACTACATGAGCCTGGGTAGCTCGGCCTACAATGTGCTTAAGCTATGGGCTAATAATGGGAGAATCTAGGATTCCCGGCGGAAGCGAACATTTTCTGTTCGCTACTGTGTCCACATCGGCTCTGGGGCCACCTAGCCTCCTGTCCAATGGGTGTTGCTGAGTTTTTCCTGGGGACAAAGCGGTACGCGCCGTACAACTTATCGCTCCTCTATTTTGTATCGAAGATGAAAAAGGACTAGAACTATACATCTACGCCTCTATACGTCATTCCTGGCGCGGTACTTAATTACTTACAATACGCCTTTACCTGTTAAACGAAACTAACCTTCAGCTGTCCCAAAACTCCATGAGGTGGGAACAGCAAATGTCCTTCCTTGAAAGGCTTTTCCGTTTCCATAATTCTCACTGTGCATGTCAATACCGCGTACTATGGACATGTTAAAAGTCACATTGCCTTATAATATACTAATAACCACGGAGAATAAAACAAACTATACTTCCGATCTAGACATCTGCTAGTTAAGAACAGCGCAGAACACACAGATAATTCGGCTTTCACTATTGCCACGTTTGAACGAAACACTACAAGGAAGTGTTGAAATAAAATTATTACTTAATTTTAGAAAAACTTCAGACGAAGTTAAACATTATGTCCAGGCCACATTTATCTCTTTATATCAATTTCATGGAATGACAAAGTAAAGGGGCATCTTTTGAATAACATAAACAAACTTCCGCAAGGCATACTTTGGCAACACAGCGTACACTCCCCCAGCATCACCGGATGTAAACATGTTGGTGTTTTCAACTAGATGATATGTATTTCCGGTGTTCAAGTGACCTCTGTTAGAATTATATCCAATTAAAGGTATGTAGAATTTGAGGATCTCAGTTATCACGGCGGTGATTATGAAGAGTTCAATCTTCTTGGACATAACACTGTGTAATGCGTTGAAAGCCAGCCAACAGCAGGATCACGGATCTTCCATCTTCAAGGCCGAATAATAGTCAAGATACCAGCTTTCCTTGCTGCCACCTTCATGCTGATTTCTTCCTAGGCTTATTCTTCGACCCTGAAAATGGAGCGGACATGTTCCTCCGAATCGTTGGTTGACTTTCAGCGGGCTACATGAAGCTATGTCTCTGAAGACAGAACTCTACAATTCCCATCTCTGTTTGCACATTCCACAGATCGCCATTCTGTTTATCCACCATTATGCAGTATAGTGCAGGGATAAGTAAGTAGGCAGAAAGAATAACTATGCACATCAAGAGCATTAAAAGGATTAAAGAGGCACTAAGCGTTATGAATTTGAATACTACAAGCACACTTGTAACGGTACAGCTTTGTTATGTAGGTTTGTTTGTTATCCTACTGGCAGTTTTCCGTGATGACCAACAAACTGACGAACTATACTGCTAGATAGAGGTTTTCATATGGAGATTTCAGTAACGTTATACCAACACGCATTTTCACGAAAATTAAAATAGTACATTATGTTACAGCATATCACCGAACCAGCTCTCTCTCTCTTTTTTTTTTTCTTGGGTGCAAAGGTGTCTAAGAAGTGTTGTGTCTCCTGGGACTGCACGGCGTTATATGCCATAAGACAGTAACTTTCAGTACCTACTGAAGTTAACAAGCATTACCCGGATGAACATAACACCTCCAATTCAGGATCGAGGAGAAAGCCAAGCAAGCTTGCAGGTCCTGTCCTTCGATCCAGAGTATCGAGGCACTAACTTCCACCGGACTACACGGCGTCACATCCCCGTACAAGGTACTTCTATAGCTGATATTATATATTCTTTCTTTGAATTACTACAATTATAACATGGCGGACTGGCGAGAAGGTTAAGTGTTTAAGGAGAACTGTGTTTGCAATGAAATCATCTTGGGCATCAAAAATAAGAGCTGGAAAGATATTACTTGCTGCGGTCTTGGCAGTGCATATAGGAACTTTCTATTTAAAACCACTACTAATTCCTGACAAAAGAATGATGACAAGTGATGGTGATGATGATGAACCTAAAAAGCAAACAGCGAACTTGTGATTAATGGAGAGAAGATAAAGTAGGGTTCAGTTTTAATGACGGTCGTGAATTGTGTCCATTTAAATTCAACATTGGATTCGTTACAGGATTTCAGATCTCTGTTGTGATTAGTGGTGAGAAGATTGAAATACGTTGTCTTAATGTGTTATGAATTCATTGCAGTTCAACATTGAATTTGGTGCAACAGTTCAGACCTTGTGAGGTAAAATTGTGTACATGTGCATTTAAGTTGTATGAGAGCTATGTATTTTAATAAACCCAATACAACCCAAAATTCCAGTAATGAACATTCCTGTGATGGCTGCTGGTTGTAATATTTATTCAGTATTATAAGAAGTAAGGTTAAGTTAAAGTTATCCCTGTATTTAATTTAGCACTATGACATGTAGTGATATTGATTTATAGCTATAGCTTCACAAGTTTTAGCCTTGACAGTAAGTGGAGGCAGATTGTGCTTTATTATTCCTGTGAAAACAGCCCCTAATATTCATTTGTGCAGGAGGCTGAATGGGTCTGTATCTGGCCTGGACACGACAGAGATGATGATGCCTTTCTTCTGCCTGGTATTTAACCTTGATTCCTCAGTCATCCAGCCTATAACCTAGTCACTAATGAAAGAGACTACCATGGCTGTTAAGAAATATAGTCATTGCATTGAAAGTTGGTTGAGGCAGTAGGCTACAAGCTGGAAGGTAATGGGAGCAAATCCTGATGAGGTGGATTTTTCAATTTACCTAATCCTTTCAGCTGTACTATGGCCCCCAAGGTCAACTCAGCCTCTAAAAGAAATGAGTACCAGGAATATTCCTGAGGATAAAGGGTGGCTGGCACATAAGGCTTTCAAACTCACCGCCATCTGTGAGCCGATTGTCTAGAAAATGTGGAGCCTTGACCTCTCACAACCCTATGGGCCTCCACAGTCTGTTACAGGGATACCTTTACCTTTGAATTGAATTTCTGCACAAACAATTTATCACAGCTTTACATCCTTAAATTTCTAATCAGATATTTTCTGACCACCCACCTCCAGCTAGTGCCAAGGTCAAGAAAATGTGGATCTATACATCCAGTCCCCCATACACCTCAATAGCATAGTGCTTAATTCGTTAAGCACAAGGAAACTTTACCTTTATGTCTCCATAGTTTTCTATGATTATTTTTGCCTCTGTACAAACCTAATTCCAGTTAAATAGATGTTCCCCCCCCTCGCTTGAGGATAGAAACATTCAATTTCCAAAACTTTGTGTTCTATAGTTTTTAGAATACCAGACAATGAACAAAGTCCAAAAACCCAGTAATTCTGAATAATGCTAATGTTTAACATATTAGTGTTATTCTGCAGAACTGTCATCATACATGACTCAAAATACAGTAATATATAATGATCACAAAAGAAACTTTGAACAACTATCAATTAAAATTCTATGTACACATATGTAAGTAATGAATAAAAACAATGCACTTTCACAGCACACTATTTGATAATGCATGGCAATAAACTTAATAAAGAAACCTATATGTCCACAGTCATATTCTAAAATTGTGAAAATTTGAGTTTTAATGGGAAACTGTTATTCCCCTGGTCTTACAGATCTGGTTGGCCCAGTATGCCACATATTGGCAGGCATATTGTCCCACTGTGTGATATTTAAATTTATTATATTTGCAGGAACACAGTTCTGAATAACATGTCTAAAATGCTTCCACAGGCTTCTAATATTGCCACAGAATTTTGTGGACAAGTTTATCCACTTAGGAGTGGGTTTGCTTATTAAGAGTCCTGTGACAGGTTACAAAAATGGTAAACTCCTTAATGTTCATAGTTCTCTCAAGAGTAATTCTTTTTCTGTCCACAAAACTGTCTAAATATTGCTTAAAAATCTCTACTTTTCTAACTGCTTTTGTCATATGATTACACTTCCTTATCAAGGTGTCTGTATTCTCACTGTAAACAAAATGACTGACATTATTCAAAGTCTGCAGCTGCTGTATCCTTAGGGTGTAATGCTGCCAGTCTTGAAACTGCCAACAGCCTAAAGCAGGCATCAACACAGTCCAACACTGCATTTCAAGCATTAAAATTTTGTCATGGTTTCTTTCTTTTGCACAGAATGCACAATCAGTTCCCTTCTGCCAGCCACTGTTACTTCACATTTCAGGTGAAATTACTGGATAAGTCAGGGAAGTGTTATCATTTCATCAACAGCCAATTTGTTCAGAGATGATGCAAGTATGAATCTTCTTAGTTCAGAGTATATACCATTAAATTATAAGGTGATTAGTGAATAATAAAGGATATCAAAGGAAATGATTGTAATCTAATTTGATGTACTTTCCTGGGGAGTCTGAGTAAAGCCATGAAATATCTGTGAGAATAGTCAGGGTATGCCCTTTTTGTATAGCTGGTAGAATATTTTCTATGGGATAGGGACAAGATGGATGTGAACAGGAATCAGATGCCATGTGTACAAGTGTGTCAGGTCAAGTGCATCTGTTTTATTTTTCTCTTATTTCAATAAAAATTCAATAAATTTTAACATGCATATAAATTTATCTACATATAAACTCTGTACAATATGTAACGTGAGGGCAATTTTTAAACGTTAATACAAGATGCATTTTGTTTGGAATCAATGAGACTTGATTAATTCTCACAGTTTTCACTCCCATACAATTATTTGGCAGCGTTTTCTGTACATAATTATAATCACATTAAAGTTTGTGCTTAATAATAAATAACCAACCATTTGCCAGGAGGTTGTCATGGCTGGTCTGTAACAACTTTTTGAGGTACACATATGGCCAGACATAACTGCACCAATATGAATTAAAACGATATAGCATGGCCCTTCTCGAGAAGCTGGACAGTCTCTCAACTGATCAAGAAATTTCTGGCCTTTTATGAAACCTGAAGCTTTATTAACGCACAAGAGCCCACCACTGAAACACTATCATCTGTTGTGTATTTTTTGCAAGTGTAAGAACGAGGGAAACCCACTAATATGGTGACTTAGAGGTTAGTTATTGACCTTAACCCTTTCCATGCCAGCCTCTAGTAGCAGCATATGCTAAAAATGTCATGCCATCACTTTTGAAGTTGAAATCACTGAGGAAATAACATCTACCTACCACCAGTTTGACGATAGATTTTTGGTTCCCACAGTAGTCGTTATGAAGAGTTCAATCATTAGTATCATCCAATGCATGAATGTATGAACTGTAATAATTACTAACACTGTTAATAAATAATAACTGCAATATTAGTTTGAGTAAAAGGTAAAAAAAGGGTAAAGAAGTCTCTCTGCTTTACTAATTAAACATTACATCATAAAGACACATTGAGTGGATGTATAGATCCATGTAGTATTCTCGACCTTGGCACTAGTTAGAGGGAGTGGTCAGCTTCATGCACTGGCCACGTTACCCCCAGGTAAGGAGCCCCTCGTACCCACTAGATATCCGTCTTTCATTTGTAACTATTAATACCCATATATTCAGTAAAGTTAGAGGGACAGATGTCAATGCAATATTTAAGAGGGTCCAAATTATCATTATACAAACATGAAGATATGTCTAAAAGATGTAGGAAATAGACATCTGAAGGTTATAACACAAACATGAATAGTTATTGTCCCCCATTAAAAGAACCATGTTACATATGGCATTCTGATTTTGAATCAAAGTCTTATGCATAGTGTACAGTATGTTCTGCTTGGGAGTCAGAATGTAACATATCTACAATTTAACAGTACATGTGTGATGAAACATGAGCAAGGTGGTGTTGCCACTTGGAGGAAACCCACCATCCCAGTGTCTGCACTGTGATGTCATATTTTAATAATCCGTCTCACTCGCCTTTCAGGATGAAAATAATGTTTCCATGCTAAAGGAAATGTCTCTCCTCTGTTAACAGTTCATTTAACAACGCTTTCAGTATCGAGACTATATGGCGTCATATGGTGGGATGACTGATGAGTTGGGAAGGATCTGGAAGGAAGATGCCATGGCTTAATCAGGGTACTATCCCAGCATTTGCTTGGAGGGACAGAGTAAAACCACAAAAAAAAACACAGTCATGGTAGTTTGCATCCTGGTTGAGATCTGAATTGAGCAGTTACCAAATACATGCCTATAGCATTAGCTCCAATCTGTTTGATGACACTGCTCTTTCACTGTTTTAATAATTCAGAGTCAGTCTGGTTGTGATGGTAGTAGCAACAGCAGCAGCAGTAGTAGTCATAGTCATCTTATATCACGTTTCTGGACACAAACTGTTAAGTTGCAGAGTGTGACCTGCAACATCTCCACAATTAAACTCCTGTAACTTTTACGTAAAAGGAAATCTAAAAGATAAAGTGCATTCAAATAATCCACACAATGATTGAAACTCACTTCAGTAGAACATCTGTGAAATAATTATCTCTGTCAAGGTCACTGAACTAAAATTAATGTCACGACTATCTCTTCAAGGGACCAGAAGTTTAAGAGCAGAAGGGAGACATTTTGATCAACTACTGTGATTAGGGAATTTTTATACAATTTATTTACTTCAAAATACAAATTAATTTCAGTCTTAACTCATCCATCCTTGAGTCCAAGAAAAATGCTGCACAATAATGTGACACTGAGACCAAAAACATCCAAAATTTAATTCCCCACCAATGGTGGAGTTTGGTGGGTAAAATACATTAGTTGCACATGAGTCATGATTCTGGAAAATGTTAGCGTGGTCTCTCATGGATCTGATTTTGGCACTGGGGTCACATCATGGTTCTTCAGAATTGGCAAGGTTTCTATGAAAAACTAAGCAGTATACTATGATATCTTTATATACCAATAAGGTCCAATTGTTGGTTTTCTGATGATGTTCGTGTCAGCACACAAGCAATAAATTTCACACAAAGCAACATTTTCCCACTTTCTTACTCCTGAATCAAGTGGATTAGCATGACCTTGATGGAACTGGTGTGCTACTTCTCAGTTTTAATAGCAATTGTATTTAGTCATGTTAAAATAAATAAAATGGGTATGAGGTTCTGTAGTTGGTTGAGGCAGTATGCTAAAAGCCGGAAGGTCACAGGTTCCAGTCCCGATGAGGTGGATTTTTTCAACTGACTTAATCCTTCCAGCCACACTATGGCCCTGGGATCGACACAGCCTCTAAGAAATGAGTACTGGGAATATTCCTGGGGGTTAAAGGGTGGCCGGCATGTAGGGCTGACAACCTTACCGCCAACTGTCTAGAAGATATGGGAGCCTCAATCTCTCACAACCCTATGGGCCTTCACAGCCTGTTACAGGCACAGCTTTACCTTTTTTAAAATAAATAAAAATAGATCAAAGGTGCTGAAGTTTCAGGTGCTGTGTACTTTGCTAACTGGAAACTTTTGAATGGGAAAGTTGGCCTGCAGCAAATAGTCATAGTCACCAGTCATTTGTTCTGTCACTGTGACTACCTTAGTCATCAGTATAATCAACAGTCTGATTATCAGAACCTGCATTTGACCTATGAGTCATCACTCTCTAACACATGTATAATAGGTGCATTCCGTTCTTTGGGAGAGGGTGATGCTATGTAAGTCACACTCACCTGATGATCCTGTTTCATCCACAGTAGCACTTCACACAAACCACTTTCATAGAGATCATCACTTTCCTCTACAACTTCACCTATTTGCTTATTTTTTATCAAACCACATATTGCACTACATAATACACACTAAATAACTCTGTGGTTTTAGTCCGCAAGCGAACTATACCAACCAAGTGACCACCGCTTCTTGGTGAAGTTAGTGCCAACTTTAGCGGATAGAGGGTGTTGCATGGTCAGTGCAACAAATTCCCACGGCCATTAATTTCGGTTTTCTAGACCGGAGCCGCTATTTCCTTGAAACAGCTCCTCAATTATCGTCACAAGGCTGAGTGGACCCCGTTCCAGACCCACTACTTCTCAGAAAAATCTGGCAGCGCCGGGAATCGAACCCGGACCTTTGGATCTGTAGCCAGGAACTCTGACCACTAGACCACAGAGGCGGTCACACAGACATAAATGTCCAGCAGAACAGTGATCTGAGTGAACAAGGCTACTAGGCACAGTGAACAGTATTTCCAAGACAGTTTCAGGAAAAACTAATATAAATTCAATCACAATTCACAGTTTGATCCATCATGCTCATACACAAGAAGCTTCGCTGTACCCACTTAAATGGACAGACATGACATCTTGTGGTGAAGACAGCAAATCAGTAGTGTATGAAAAAAGTGGCGAAGAGTTCAGGTGATGGCAATTGCACTTTTAGTATAATCTGCACCATGACTGACAGATGAGCCATCTGGCATTGAGAGGGTTAGCACAGTAGAAACATGCTTCAAGCTGAGTATTGTATATTATGCTGTTAATTGGCAATAATGCAAGGAAGATTTATGGCATGACTAATGGCTTTCACTTGTTTTATCACTGAATCCTACACGACAAAAGTCAATACATTTATACTGTTTAACATTTTACATATAGATAATTCCCATAAAAAAAATACTGAATTTTACTTAATACACAATCTAGAACACAAAATCACTTTACATTGTGCACGGACATAATCACTTATACCAAAAGTACTTGAATACACATAGAAACAAAAGACCTAACGAATGTTTTACTTATAGGCAGCGCTTTTGTTTTTCTAAAAACATGCTTGCTAGTACACTCATGCTCAATTTCAGCTGCAAGGTCAGTCACATAATACACTGATGGCTGTACAACTTTCAACTCTCGACAGATTTGCTGATATGCCTCAACTGTTTGCCAGTATGTGTGCTGGTGCATAGTGGTTGAAAAAGTCACTACTAATATGTAAAACAGAGGCTAAGGACCATAATTATGGCTGCACCATAGCTGAAGTGGTTAGTCGCTGTCTTCCCACTGTGGCAGCCCGGGTTCGATCCCGGGTGTGGTCAAGTGGGATTTGTGGCAGACAAAGTGGCACTGGGGTGGGTTTTCTCCAAATACTTCGGTTTCCCCTGCCAATCTTCATTTCATCAAATTCTCCATCATAATCAACCAAGGCAGGTACAATAGGCCTATCAGTGGCCGCCATGCCGAGTGGACCCATCTGGACTCCACCCCCCACTAAGTGAATTAAAAGAAAATTTAGGACCATAATTTACAATTACCATATGTTCCTTCCTGCTACATAATACATGTATTGTCATGTTGTCGGTTTATTGAAATGTTCAAGGTAACATTATACATGATGAATTTATTAAAGTTGAAGGAGGTATTACTCCTGGTCACGCACAACCATCATGGCCAATGCCATGCCACCGATGAAATACTAAGAACATGTTGCTCCTGTTATGTGCGTTTGTACACACTTCCATTTATATTACTTTACAACATTTGGTCTTTACATAGTTCAGTGCAATAACCTAATAAGATATGAGACCTCATAAAGCCAATAATCTGCTAATGTAGGTAGGCAAAAAGCAATGGTTTCATAAATTATCAATTACACCTACCCCTCAACACTTTAATTGCATCATGCTGAATTACTGTTCTAATTTGTATCAGCCTGGCATTGACATAATGGTACACATTCCCATTTCTAGTACAGTAGAAGGACATTGGAAGTTTACACATTTCAAATGAAGCCATTACATCATTTATTTCATATAATATTCACTATTCTTTCTTATTTAACATCTCCCACGCATCATCATCCCAACTTGAGTTCCATTCATTCCCTTTATCCTCTGCCAAATCAATTAACAAACCTTCCTTTGTACTCCCAGTCTTCTTCTTCCCTTTCCTTGCAGATGATCCATTGCCAGCAGGGCGCACGGTAGAATTTGAAGACCAACTTTCCCATTCATTAGAAGACTTCGAACTGCTTGCTGTCCTATGTCACATAAAAGCATACTAATATGCTACATTTAATTTATCTATTTTTACTTCTAGATCATTTGCTTGGTGTAATTTAAATATTCATTGTTCTATTTTTATATTCTCACCCAACAAATTAACAAAATCAACACAAGTACATACTTTAGGCCTCTAATTTCATGAAGCAATACAGTTCTGCTTACTGTTTAAAAATACACCCAAAAAAGTCTCCTCTTAACTGTGTTCTGTGCCTGGTCTTGAAATGAAATACTTTATAAGAAAACTTTGATGAAACTATGTGGCATCCAATAACATTTCACTTTTTTTTCAAACTGTAGTCCCACATACGATAAGTTAGTAAGGTAGCAGTTTTGAGAAGCACAGACTACTAAAGCACTGCAACGTAACACTCCATGATTTGAAACCTACTTGTTATGTTGCTGTTTCTCTTCAGAATTCCAATTCAGCCATTCATCTGCATCCCTTGAGCCTCCTTTGTTATCAGTTAGCAACGGAGTGCCAGTGCCATTCTTTGTTTCATTTCTGCAGTAAGAATCGATGAATGAACGTGAGTTTGTGTCCAATAACAGTAAGTTCACAGATAGTTAATAACTTATCCACTCAATACAGTAGGATTTCCCTGCATTTTAACATTACAAAATTGACAACACACACATTAAACAAAACACAAAGTAGTACTCAACACACAACGCAATTATAATTATTCAATTCAATTCTTTATTATTAATGTGCTGAGTCAACAGCCGCAAGGCCAATTACAGACACAGCACAGTGCAGATGAATGTAATTACATTATAGACAAACTTATTAAAAGTCAAATACAAATTACAGGTAAGTACTTGGAAGAAATAATAATGAATAAAAGTAAACAAACAAACAAATAACTGATAATTATAACAGTAATAATAATTTCATTATCATTAAACTAAGTGTTATTAAGAATTGAGGAATGAAACATAAATTTAATTAAGAAATAAATAGTATAAATTTTCAGAGGATAATAATAATATACATAATTCATTTTGTTTTACTGGACATGCAAATAATAAAAATACTAACAGTTATACTTTTTTAAAATTTGTTTGGGTAGAACATTCCTGGCTCCGAATACGTCAACATCCCTGCAGACAACATTAGCAGCTGCATAATAATAATAATACTCAAAAGAAAACACCAATGCCCTTGCTGACCACTAACAACAAGTTAAATTAACAAAACTGATTTTACCAGCAAGTTAAGTTACCTTTGTGCATTTCCCCCTTCTAAAAGTAATGAAGATTTTTCGGTGGAAATACCATCAGCAGTCTCTCCCCTTGTTGGAGGGGGAGCAGTATTGGTTCCTGATAAATCTTTCCAACCTCTTCTTCCTAAATCTCCTACCTGTAACACAAAAATTAATATGTGACAATATACTTTTTATGTAACAGATGTTCCAACCAAGGTTACTTAACACTTTTGAGGACTGGTGGCATATTTTTATGCCCAGCACTTTTAAACGTGGCGGACTGGTAGCACATTATTATGACTTTATGACACGTTATGTTGAAACACACTATACCTTGCACTGGTGCCAGGCAGACGCATGACTGGTGCGTGATAGACCTCTTGAATGTTTGCTTCGTAGTCAGTAACATGACCCCATTTTTTATGACCCAACTGTTTTCCTTTCTCACTCCAAAAGAAAATGCCTTTGTTCATCTTCCAGCTGCATGCACCAGGCAGGAAGTTACTAGTGCAAAATGGATCAAGATCGGAGGTTGAGGTCCAAGCGTTTTCC